TACGTCAAGGTTGTATACTTGTCACCCTGCTTACTTAACTTATATGCAGAATACATCATTCGAAATGCCAGCCTGGATACATCACAAGCTGGAATCAAGATTGCCAGGAGAAATATCAAAAACTTCAGATATGCAGATGATACCACTCTAATGGCAGAAAGCGAAGAGGAACTAAAGAGCCTCTTGATGAAAGTGAGAGAGTGAAAAAGCTGGCTTAAAACTCAACATTCAAAAAACTAAGATCACGGCATCCAGTCCCATCACTGCATAGCAAATAGATGGGGGGAAAAGTGAAAACAGTGACAAATTTTATTTTCTTGGGCTCCAAGAATCACTGTGGAGGGTGACTGCAGCTGTGAAATTAAGATGCTTGCTCCTCGGAAGAAAAGCTATAACAAACCTAGACAGCATATTAAAAACCAGACATCACACTGCAGACAAAGGTCCATATAGTCAAAACTGTGGTTTTTCCAGTAATCTCGTATAGATATGAAAGCTGGACCAGAAAGAAGGCTGAGCGTCACAGAATTGATGCTTTTGAATTGTGATGCTGGAGAAGATCTTGTGAGTCCCCTGGACAGCAACGAGATCAAACTAAAGGAGTCAATCCTAAAGGAAATAAACCCTGAATATTCACTGAAATCACTGATGCTGAAGCTTCAATCCTTTGGCCACCTGATGCCAAGACCCAACTTATTGGAAAAGACCCTGATGCTGGGAAAGATTGAGGGCAGGAGGAGAAGGGGACGACAGAGGATGAGATGGCTGGATGGCATCACTGACGTGATGGACGGGAGTCTGAGTAAGCTCCAGGAGGTAGTGAAGGATAGGGATGTCTGGTTCTGGTGTACTCAGTCCATGGGGCTGCAGAGTCAGACATGACCTAGCCACTGAACAAGTCTCAGTCTCAGGAAGTGAGGTTTTCTCCCAGTAGCAGGCAAACTAATGATCTGAACCTGGGAAAGTTTTCTGCCCTTCCCTCAGGGTTTATGGATTTTCTTTTTCTTTTCACTTCTCCCACCCATAATGGAAAAATTGGGTTTATTCCCTTCCCCAAGTTGCTTAAAGCTTTTTTCCACAAGGAAGAAGGGTCCAGGCAGGCCTGTACCACTTAAAAGAGGCATTCTCTATATCCCTTGCTTCCTAATCTTTCTCATAAGCAACTCTTGGAGGTCCTTGGAGAAAAGCCTGAAAGTGGGTGCTACCTACCCTTGTTTTGCAGCTCCCAAGGGATCATTTCTTGATAGCCTACATTTAGACTTTAGCAATTCATTAGAAATTTAGCTAAACTCTTTTTTCCCCCTGTAGGAAAGCCCTACTTTCTTCCTGTGCTCGGCTACAGGTGAGCCATGCCCACATCCCACTTCTAATGCATTGAGAGAAGTTATGATTTTTTATATATTATAGGTTATTCTTGTTTCACAGTGGGAGCAATATGCTTTCCAGCTTTCTATGTCCTAAAAGGAAGCCAGAAATCACTCCATGAGTTCAGATATTATCTATATATCTAGAACTTCTAAATTTATATTTATAGTCTGGACCTTTCTTCTGGACTCCAGATCATATATATCCAACTACCTGCTGGACAAGTCTACTTGTATGATTTGCCAGACAGATTCTAAGGTGGCCCCCATGGTCTCCACATTCTGGTGTACATGCCTTTGAGAGTGTCAGAGGGATCTGTAGCTTGCTTCTAGCCAACAGAATAAGGCAAAGATGATGGAATGTCATTATCACGTGATTATGTCACGTTTTATGGCAAAGGAATAGGGTATTACCCCCTGATTATGTTACGTAAGGCCCTGTCTTGCCAGCTGACTCATTCTAATTCTCTTGCTGAACTGAAAGAAGCAAGCTGCCATGCTGTGAGCTGCAAACTGCAGGTGACCTCTAAGAGCTGAAGGTGGACTCCAGTCAAAAAAGTTCTCAGTCCTACAGCTGCAACAAAATGAATTCTGCCAACAAACTGAGTGAGCTTAGAAGTGAATTCTTCTCTATCCTAGTCTCCAGATAAAAAGGCAGCCCTAGCCAACATCTTGATGACATTTGTGAAACTCTGAAGCAGAGAACCCAACTAAGAAGTGCCTGACCCTACAGAAATTGTGAGATAATCAATACATGTTGTTTTAAGCCAATATATTTGTAGTGATTTGTTTTGCAACACAGAAAACTAATATAGTACCATAAACTTAACATGCCCAAAGGTCAAATTCCTGCAACATTTCCCCAAAAAGAAAGAAAAAAGTTCCAGTGTTGTCCATCTCAACAAATAGCAACTCCATTATTACAGTTATTCAAGTCAAAAACCATAGTCAATCTTAACTCCTTTTTCCTCTAAACTCACATCCAATCCCAAAGCAAACACTGTTGGCTTTACAATCAAATTACACCCAGAGTCTAACTTTATCTCACCACCACCACTGCTCCCACCTTAGTCCAAGCCACAACTGTCTTTCATGCACATTAGTGTCTTTAACAGCCTCCTAACTGGTTTTCCTACTTGCACTCCACAAAGCAGACAGAATGATCCTATTAAAATCTCAGTCAGATTACATTTTTACTCACGCCACTCCAAAGGTTCCTCATCTTACGGAGATTAAAAAGCAAAAATCTTATAGTGGTATACAAGGCCTACATTATCTGGCATTCTTCCCTCCCAACCCAACCTCTCCACCTCACCTTGTGTCATCTGCCTCTCCCACCACAGTGACTGCCCTGCTATTCCTTAACCATGCCAAACGCAGTTAAGTCTGAGTTTACAGTTGTTGGTCCATATAATTAAAGAGATATTTCCACAGATAGGACTTCTCTGACCAGCTTATATCAGACAGCAAGTCCCCATCCCCATTAACAATCCCCTATCCCTCCTATCTTGCTCTATCAGCCTCACAGCACATATTACCAACTAATGTTTTATTCTCTCCAATACTAGAATATATGTTCCATGAGAACTGAAACTTTTGTTCACTGCTACATCTCCACCTTATACTGAATTACTGAATAATTGCTGTATTAGATACTTTTTCCTTACAGTATTTAGAGTCTAATAAAGCAGTCAAGCAACAAGGATTTGGATACAAAGTCAGTGACATTATTTTAAAAAATCGCTATAAAATTATTTATAATCTAGAAGTGTACTTAAATTCTATCTCTGTAAATGCGCTTCTAAGGAAACTTGGAAAACATTCACATCTAACCAAAATTACTGAAATGTGTAAGTGAACTGAATTAAAACATTTGTGACAGGCTCTACTAACAGAAAGGTAACTGAAACACTCTATCACTGTTTTTCCAAGCCTACATGGAGACAATACCATTATTCTTTACAGATATAGCCAAATAATAGAGAAGAATAAATCAAGCTTGAAGGATTAATCCTTTAGATGCTTAATTCTCCAACTTTTTCATCTCTCTTATACTCTGAAAAATTATTAAGGACCCCAAAGAACTTTCATTTATGTCAGCTTTTAATCTAATACTTACATTCAAGATTTAAATGAAATGTTAAAAATATTTGATAGTTCATTTTAAAATAACAATCATAAATCCACTACACATTAACATATTTTAATTAATAAAACTAAATATTTCCCCCCAAGGTTAGTGAGAGAAATGACATTGTTTTACATTTCTGTGTATCTCCTTAATGTTTGAGTTAATAGAAAATGGCTGAATTCTCTTTATCTGCTGCTACATTAAATAGATGCCACATGTTGTTTTGGTGGAGGTATACGAAGAAAGATGCATGGATCAGACTATTTGAAATTTTAAAAATACAATGGATAAGAATCTGCATGCCAGTGCAGAGGACACAGGTTCAATCCCTGGCCCAGGAAGATCCCATATGCCATGGGGCAATTAAGCCTGTGTACCACAATTACTGAAACCAGAGTTCTAGAGCCCACCAGCTGCAACTACTGAGCCCATGAGCTATAACAACTGAAGCCTGCATGCCCTAGAGTCTGTGCTCTGCAATGAGAGAAACCACTGCAATGAGAAGCTCATGTACCACAACCTAAAGTGAAAGTGAAGTCGCTCAGCCGTGTCCAACTCTTTGCGACCCCATGGACTGTAGCCTACAAGGCTCCTCCATCCATGGGATTTTCCAGAGAGTACTGGAGTGGGTTGCCATTTCCTTCTCCAGGGGATCTTCCCAACCCAGGAATCGAACCTGGGTCTCCCGCACTGCAGGCAGATGCTTTACTGTCTGAGCTACCAGGGAAGCCCTCAACCTAAGTAGTCCCTAAATCTCCACAATTAGAGAACCCAGCACAATCAAAAATAAACAAACTAATTTTAAAAATATCATTAATTCTCGGGAATTCTCTGGCAGACCAGTGGTTAAAACTCTGTGCTTCCGTTGCACAGGGCACTGGTTCAACCCCTGATCGGAGAACTAAGGATCCTGCCTACCATGTAGCCAAAAAAAAAAAAAAAAGAAGAAAATTTTTTTAATTAAAAAATTAAAACAAAAAAAATCATCAGTTCTGCAATGTACATGTCTGTCCATTTAAATTATCAAATGAATATACCTATTTTCCAGTTAAGCAAAAATATTTTCTATATATCCACAATATATATACTGAACTCAAGATGGTTTGAGTCCCGAAACTATTATTCTCTATTTCAAGTTAGCCTAAAGAACCAAATAACTTCTCATTTTTCTTATGTAGCAACAAAATTAGTCTGAAAACACACACACACACACACACACAAAACTAATCATGTACCACATAAAATGAAATCTATCAACATCTCAAGTTCTGAGAACTATATACATATTAAAACAACACTAAGTATATTTTGTAGGAAAGATAATAAAACTGAATCATCTCGACAACATACGTAAATATTCCTTCCTTTCATACATTTCAACATTTTAGTTTTTCTCTATTGCCAATTTTTTTGAATGTTAGTAATTATTGACTTGAAACAACAGATTCATCTGCAATAACAAACACTGCTAACTGGCTCAATATTTTGGCTGGTTCCTGCCTTACCTGTTGAGCAATATGAGAAATATGAGCTGCCTGAACTGTTGAACCAGACTGAGGTGCTGTCTCTGAAGTGTTACTCTTGTGAGAATCATCCATAATCAACTGTAAGAAGGAAAAAAAAAAATCAGTTAAAAGATGCTTTCTAACTTCATTTCAAGAAATCTTATGACATTTCTTTTCTTAACATGCATATTTTTTTCAGAAGAACAAAACAGAGCTTTTCTATACTAAAGGCTGAGTTCAGTTTATCCAGACTCATGTTCCTATACCTCTGCTCTGGGTGTATAGTGACCTCATGATAAAATCTTTTAAAACGTCAAATAAAAAGTGCTATAGAATATAACTTGGTTGCCTCCATGGAAGAGAATTGGTAGCTATGGTATAGAAAGAGAATAGATTTTCCTTGCATATTCTTTTAATTTTTTTTTTTTGAGTTTTGATCCATATGATCATGTTTAAATTCAATAAATGGTACACAAACATAAATTATTATGGCTACGTTTTCAAATGCTACCCCACTCAAGAAGTACGACAGGACTTCCCTGGAGGTCCCGTGGTTAAGAATTCGCCTGCCAATGCAGCGGACACAGTCTAGGAAGATTCCACATGCCATGGAGCAACTAAGCCCGTATGCCACAACTACTGAGCCCGGGCTCTGCTCTGCAACGAGAAGCCACTGCAAGAAGCCTGCGCACCAGAACAAAGAGTAGCAACCCCACACCCGTCAGCAAGAGAGAAAGTCTACATGCAGTAACACAGACTCAGTACAGCCAAAAATAAATATTAGACAATTTTTTTAAAAAGTATGATATGCAGGGACACAAGCATTCTTTTCTGCAGTCTAGGGAACAGTTTCTAATTGGATACATAGTTTAATATAGAGAATTTATTGAGCAAAGGTTGAACAAAATAAATGAATGAAATCCTACCTAAGAACTTTCTAAAGATCTAGATGATCTAATCAACTGCAGGACATGTAGGCTGGATAAGAATGAGAATAAGTGGGTTATGAGAGATGGAATATGTCAAGTAGAACTACTTAGAGACTGGTTGAAGTTTTAGGCAGAATTTAAGGTTTTTATAACTATGTGGAAAGACATAAAAAGAGAAAAGGCTGGCCAGCAAAAAATGAAAAGATACTCAATTTCATTAAGTATTAGGGAAATGCAAATCAAAACTACAATAAGATACCATCTCTCATCCATTACGATGGCTAATATTTATTGAAAAACAGAAAATGAGGGTTAGCAATGATGTGGGGAAACTGAACATTTGTGCACTGTAGTTGGGAATGTAGAATGGTGCAATCACTAGGGAAGAAAAACAACATGGTAGTAACTCAAACAATTAAAGATAGAATTACTGTATGACCCAGCAATCCTGTATTTGTGCCTCTATCCAAAGAACTGAAAGCAGGGTCTTATGGAGATATTTGTACAGCTCTGTACATGGCAGAATACAGCCCTGTATACAGTAGCCAAAAGGCAGAAGCAACTAAAATGTTCATCAATGGATGAGTGAATAAACAAAATGTGATATACATATACAATGGTATATTACTCAGCTTTAAAAAGGAAGGAAATTGTGATACATGCTACAATATAAATGAACTTTGAGGACATAACGCTAAGTGAAATAAACCAGTTCCCAAAAGACAAATATTGAATGCTTTCACGTATTTAAGTTACTTAGGAATAATCAAACCCATAGAAACAAAGAATGGTGGTTAACAGGGACAGGGGGGAGGGAGAGATGGAGAGTTGTTGTTTAATGGTATGAAAAAGCTCTGTAGATTGGGTGCACAACAATGTAATGTACTTAACCTTACTAATTGTATACTTCAAAATGCTTATGATGATAAATCTTATTTTATGTGTATTTTTCCATAATTCAAAGAATTTTTAAAGAGAGGGAATTCCCTGATGGTCGAGTGTTTAGGATTTGGCACTTTCAATGCTGGGGCCCAGGTTCAATCCCTGGTCAGGGAACTAAGATCCCACAAGTCACGCAGCCTAGTTAATTGATTAAAAAATTAAAATAAACATAACAAAATCATTTCCATAGGATATATTCTAAAAAGGAGAATTACTTGGTTAAGGAGTATGAATATTTAAAGCTTTCTAAAAGAACTGTAGTCCACCAGAAGCACATGAGAAAGCAATGGGAATTTTTTAAAGTCATTACTAACGCAATAAATGGAAAATGGTACACTGTCATACATTTTTTTAATTCTCCATTAATTGCATGAGCTCTGTTTATATTATCTGTCCATTCATCAGATCTTAGTGTTGTCCCTATTACCCTATATTATTTCTTCATATAAATTTTATTTCTATCATGTTAATACAAATACTCTTCCAATATGACTTAATTATGATTATTTTAAAATTTTGACAAGTTCATCTGGTGCTTCCCTGTTGTTTCTTGAACTGCTTTTTAAGATACATATGGACTCTTCTTTAGAAAGAGTGCAGTGATTTTTAATCTACACTAAGAGAAGTGGTAATCCCACAGATTAAACATACAGATAGCATCAAAGATGGAATTTTATACTTTCTACATACTATTGCTACTGAAAATGGCTTTTTAAACACTCCATTTCAGAAGACACAATACAGAGCAGAAAACAAAAAGAATAAAATGCCTAAGAATAAACTTACCTAAGGAGACAAAAGAGCTGTATACAGAAAACTATAAGACACTGATGAAAGAAATCAAAGATGACATAAACATATAGAAAGATATACCATGCTCCTGGGTAGGAAGAATCAACATTGTGAAAATGACTATACTACCAAAAGAAATCAACAGATTCAATGCAGTCTGTATCAAATTACCAATGGCATTTTTCACAGAGCTACAACAAAAAATTTCACAATTTGTATGGAAATACAAAAGATCCGGAATAGTCAGAGCAATCTTGAGAAAGAAGAATGGAGCTAAAGGAATCAACCTTCCTGACTTCAGACTATATGACAAAGCTACCACCATCAAGAAAGTATGGTACTGGAACAAAAACAGAAATACAGACTAATGGAACAACATAGAAAGCCCAGAGATAAACCCATGCACCTATGGGTACCTTAGCTTTGGCAAAGGAGGCACGAATATACAATGGAGAAAAGATAGTCTCTTCAGTAAGTGGTGCTAAGAAAACTGCTACATGTAAAAGAATGGAATTAGAACACTTCCTAACACCAACACAAAGATAAACTCAAAATGGATTAAAGACCTAAATGTAAGACCAGAAACTATAAAACTTTGGAGGAAAACATAGGCAGAACACCCTCTGACATAAATCATAGCAAGATTCTCTATGACCCACCTCCTAGAGTAATGGAAATAAAAATAAACAAATGGGACCTAATTAAACTTAAAAGGTTTTGCACAGCAAAGGAAACCATAAGCAAGATTAAAAGACAACCCTCAGAATGGGAGAAAATAACTGCAAATGAAGCAACTGACAAAGAATTAAACTCCAAAATATACAAGCAGCTCAACATCAGGAAAGCAAACCACCCAATTAAAAAATGGTCAGAGGACCTAAACAGACATTTCTCCAAAGAGGACATACAAATGGCTAATAAGAACATGAAAAAATGCTCAACATCTCTGATCATTGGAGAAAGGCAAGTCAAAACTACAATGAGGTTATCACCTCACACCAGTCGGAATGGCCATCATCAAAAAATCTACAAACAATAAATGATGGAGAGGGTGTGGAGAAAAGGGAACCCTCTTGCACTGCTGGAATGTAAACTGATACAGCCACTAAGGAGAACACTATGGAGATTTATATATAAACTAGGAATAAAACTATCATATGACCCAGATAATCATGATGGTGTGATCACTCACCTAGAGCCAGACATCCTGGAATGTGAAGTCAAGTGGACCTTAGGAAGCATCACTAGGAACAAAGCTAGTGGAGGTGATGGAATTCCAGTTGAGCTATTTCAAATCCTGAAAGATGATGCTGTGAAAGTGCTGCACTCAATATGCTAGCAAATTTGGAAAACTCAGCACTGGCCACACAGCTGGAAAAGGTCAGTTTTCATTCCAATCCCAAAGAAAGGCAATGCCAAAGAATGCTCACACTACGGCACAACTGTACTCAATTCACATGGTAGTAAAGTAATGCTTAAAATTCTCCAAGCCAGGCTTCAGCAATACATGAACCGTGAACTTCCATATGTTCAAGCTGGTTTTAGAAAAGGCAGAGGGACCAGAGATCAAATTGCCAACATTCGCTGGATCATCGAAAAAGCAAGAGAGTTCCAGAAAAACATCTATTTCTGCTTTATTGACTAGGCCAAAGCCTTTGACTGTGTGGATGACAATAAACTGAAAAATTCTGAAAGAGATGGTAATACCAGACCACCTGACCTGCCTCTTGAGAAACCTGTATGCAGGTCAGGAAGCAACAGTTAGAACTGGACATGAAACAATGGTTCCAAATAGGGAAAGGAGTACGTCAAGGCTGTATATTGTCACCCTGCTTATTTAACTTCTATGCAGAGTACATCATGAGAAATGCTGGGCTGGAGGAAGCACAAGCTGGAATCAAGATTGCTGGGAGAAATATCAATTACCTCAGATATGCAGATGACATGACACCACCCTTATGGCAGAAAGTTAAGAAGAACTAAAGAGCCTCTTGGTGAAAGTGAAAGAGGAGAGTGAAAAAGTTGGCTTAAAGCTCAACATTCAGAAAACTAAGATCATGGCATCTGGTCCCATCACTTCATAGCAAATAGATGGGGAAACAGTGGCTGACTTTATTTTTCTGGACTCCAAAATCATTGCAGACGGTGACTGCAGCCATGAAATTAAACGATGCTTACTCCTTGGAAGGAAAGTTATGACCAACCTAGACAGCGTATTAAAAAAGCAGAGACATTCATTACTTTGTCAACAAAGGTCTGTCTAGTCAAGGCTATGGTTTTTCCAGTGGTCATGTGTGGATGTGAGAGTTGGACTATAAAGAAAGCTGAACACCGAAGAATTGATGCTTTTGAACTGTGGTGTTGGAGAAGACTCTTGAGAGTCCCTTGGACTGCAAGGAGATCCACCCAGTCCATCCTAAAGGAGATCAGTCCTGGGTGTTCATTGGAAGGACTGACGTTGAAGCTGAAACTCCAATACTTCGGCGACCTGATGCGAAGAGCTGACTCACTGGAAAAGACCCTGATGCTGGGAAAGATTGAGGGCAGGAGGAGAAGGGCACGACAGAGGATGAGATGGTTGGATGGCATCACCGACTCAATGGACATGGGTTTGGGTGGACTTTGGGAGTTTGTGATGGACAGGGAAGCCTGGCATGCTGCAATTCATGGGGTCGCAAAGAGTTGGACACGACTGAGCGACTGAAATTAACTGATGGGATCTAGAAAAATGGTACAGATGAACCTATATGTAAGGCAGCAGTAGAGACGCAGACAGAGAGAAGAGACCTGTGGACACAGCTGGGGAAAGAGAAGGCAGGACTAACTGAGAGTGGCACTGAAACATACACACTACTCTGTAAGAGACAGTCAGTGGGGATTTGTTGTGTGACAGGGAGCTCAACCTGATGCTCTGTGACAACCTAAATGGGTGGGATGGGGTGGGAGATGGGTGGTACGTTTGAGAGGGAGGGGAAGTATGTATACCTATGGCTGATTCATGCTGATGTATGGCAGAAACCAACACAACATTATAAAGCAATAATCTTCCAATTAAAATAAATTTTAAAAAAAGAATAGAGAGCAGAGGGAGGAAAAAGATGGAGCGCTAAAGCATTGAAAGAAACTGTAAAAGATTTTTTAAAACCTTGTTAAATTATTGAAAGTGATACTGTGACTCACTGATTTCCCTCCATAACAGTGTTATTAAGAAATCCAGTATCTAACCCAGTATCTAACATCAACTAAACATCAACGAAACATTACACATTTCCTAGTAAAAGCCACTACAAAACACAAAGTCACTCAGTCATGTCTGACTCTTTGTGACCCCATGAACTATACAGTCCATGGAGTTCTCCAGGACAGAATACTGGAGTGCAAGGAACATTTTGGACAATCACTACAACTATATTTCCTACAGAAAAGATAACCTATTTTCTGTGTTTTTGGTTTTTTCCCCCCCTAAATTAAAAGTAGCCTTATAGCTTCAGCCCATTAACTATAAGTATTTTTTAAAGTGATATTATTAGGATAAAAACTTTATCTGCTCATTTATCGAAAAAAGCTATTATTCCTGAAATTAAGGTTAAGATTAACAATTTGTTAAAAACTTGCTCAACATACAATTTTATTTTTATGTGTACAAAGGCATTTTCTGTAAAAATAAAGTAAGCCTCAGGCAGCATCTGGAAGCTTAACATAAAACAATCCCAAGTCAGGCAAAATCACAAGTGGGCAGTGAAACACAGATTCAAAAGTATAGTCAATGGGGGAGTTCCCTGGCTGTCCAGTGGTTAAGACTCAGTTCTTTCACTGCTGTGGCCCCAGGTTCAACCTCTGGTTGGGGAACTAAGCTCCTGTAGCCCACGAAGTGTGGGGGGAAAAAAAAAAAAGAACTATATTTCAAGTGAATAAAATAAAGAGACTTAAAGGAAAAAAAAAAGGTACCATCACTGGGAATGAATAATTTGGGGACCTAAGAAATCATAGCAGGCTTCGATCTTGCAGACATATGAAGAATGTTAAAGGCATGGCACTTTCAAGAATCTATGTCAAGAAAGGAGCATAGGAATTCCCTGGCAGGTCCAGTGGTTAAGACCCCATGCTTCCACTGCAGGTGGCATGGATTCTATCCCTGGTTGGGGAACTAAGACCCTGTGTGCTGTGCAGCGTGGCCAAAAAATAGGAAAAAAAAAAAAAAAAAGCTAGGAACCAAGAACTTTTTATATAGCATCATCTGGATTCTCTATTTTAGAGATGTGTAAACAGAGGTTCAAAGAAATTGCCACTTCTATGGATCTCACTTAAGATGTGAATTTAAGATCTGAAGTCAGAATTGTTTTAACCCAAAATCCATGTTCTTTCAGTCTACACTGCCCCTCTTCCAGGAATACCTTCACCTCCCCAACTTATCCACCTGGCAAACTCATTTTCAAGTTTCATCCCAAACCCAACTGCTCTGGGTCCTTCCTTCCCTGTTCCACTGTACCCTGTTATTTATAATGAGGTTACTTAACTTTCTGAACTGTGTTTATTGACATGTCTGTTTCCCTCAGTCTCAAGGTGCCTAGGAACAGGGCCTCTGTCTTGTGATTGTATGCTCTGTGTCCAGCAGGGACCATCAGGTATGCGGTAAAACAGTAAACATCAACAAATATAGTATAATGAAGTGTCTTAAGTTTCTCCACCTGTGGATGATGGACAGGTCTGAGGACAATAAGTCTATTGCTCAACATTTCCACAACTCAACTCACGATATCCCCTCAAAATTGCTATTAGTCATACTTAATTTCAGATCTTCAAATGTGCCTGCAATGCTTTCTCTCACCTTCCAGCTTTTATGTATGCTGTTTCCTCTACTAAAAACACTATCCCTCCTCATGTGACCTATTCCTATGAGTTATTCTTACAGGCAAACTTTCCTGCTTCCCTTAGACTGGTCTAGATGAAGTCTGAGAAGCTTTGGCTGTATCCCCATGGCACAAGTTTCCTCCACCTTTCATGGCACTCATCACAGAATTGAAATGGCCTGTTTTCTGTCTCCCTACCAGAAGGCAAGCTTAGAGAGTCAAACACCACATCCTACTCCCGAAATAATACCTTGAACTTACTACTACTCAATAAAGCGTGTTTAGTTGGGTTTACCTACCTAAAATTGATAGAAACAATGATATCTTCAGATACCTTATCAAGCAAGATATATTCAAAAAATTACTTCAACCCAGCTTTAGAAACAGGAAAATTCAGGCACAAGAGAACACTCTATTTTAGAGCTGAAAATTCAGCAGTACCAATATAAATAAATGGGATGACATGTGAAGGGAAAAAAACATTTTGAAGGTACTACCACCTACTGATGATATAGCAGTACTGCACAGAGGTATCAGACAAACCTTAAAAGTTAACCGCAAATTCAATAGAACATATTCGGCTTTAAGAACACCGTACTGATTCTAATTGAGACAGAGGAAAACTGCATATTATACAGTCTACAGGAAAAACAGCATTTAAATAAAACTGCAAACATCTGTTCATAATGAAATTTTCGGGATAAAATGATTTTGCAAACATAAGCAAATATACTTTGCTATGATAAAACACATCACAAACGAGGGTTTGGCCAAATTTATGCTCAATTAAGCCTCAGAAACGGAAAGGATCCCGATGACTGTTATTAGCCCATTACGCCTCAAAAGTTGACGAAACAACTAGTCATTGACATCTACAATAATAGCAGAGTGATCAAGCGGGATGCTCCACGGCGGAGTGGACGCTCTGAAATACCACGCTTAGTTTTGTGATACAGGAGGAAACAGGAGAACGTTTTCTCGGTCTGAACGTCTGTCCAGTTGGTAAACAGACGAGTTTCTGTCACTCCACACTACCTTCCCATGACTGCTTCGTGTATGATTATTCTACCGTATGTCTCCCCACTCGACTGGAAGCTCCCGGATGATAAGGGTTGGCTCTGCCCCAACAGCGAGCGGTCCGGGCCCCGCACCCCGAGGGCGCCGGGCACGCTCTACCGTCTTCGGCGAAGATAACCGGTCTCTGGAGGAGCTCGGCGGACGACGCGCGGAGGCCAAGGCCATGCCGCCCTCCCCACGGCTCCCGTCCCAACCCCGAGACCTTCGACAGAGGGCTCTCGCCTTGGGCCGCGGAGGCGGCTTCAGAGGCGGAAACCGCCCCGCGGCGGGAGGTCTTCGTTTTAATTTTCATTGGGGGACAGCAGGCGGGAGGGAGGGAGGAAGACACCACCGACTGAAGGGGTGCAGCAGGCGAGGCAACGAGAACCGGAAGCGCGCCCCGCCGGGGGAGACCGAGCAGCCCCTCCCCCTTCCGCCAGGCGCCCTCCGCACCCCTCCCCCACCGCAATCGCCCCGCGCGACCCCCCACCGCAATCGCCCCGCGCGACGCGCCTCGACGTCCCCGCGGGGGCCGTGTCCCCGCGCCCTCCTCTTGCCCGGGGACACGGGAGCACGTCCCCACCCCGCCTCCCCCGCCCCCTGCTTACCTGTGGCTGCTGCCTGGCCGCTGTCCGGGGCGGGGAACTTCCACTCCCCCCTCCCAGGTGGATCCGAATTCACTACCCACTTCCCCACCCCCTCACGCGGCGGGGGACGTGCCTCTTTCTTAGGGGTCAGGCGGGGCGGGGAGAATCAGTGTCACTTAACAGCCAACTGTCCTAAGCTACCGTTTCCTCGGCAGTCACGGCCGCCACTGGCGGCATGATCTACACCAGGCCGGGGGCGGGGGAGCGAAGGGGGGCAAAACTGAGTAACAGAGCGTGGGGGGTGAGGTTAGGGCGGTCCTTCCGTGAGGGCGCCGTCCTTACGTCACCGCGTTGCGCACGTGACGCGCCGCCATCTTGTGCTGGGGTATCCCGGGATGGCGAGTTCGTGTTACGAAGGTGTTATTCTGGCGAGAGTTGGGCGTGGCGATACCTGCAGTTCCTTCTAGCCTCAGGAGCTCTGTCTTCACTGCTCCCAGACGTCTGTTTTCAGAGGCCAGCACCCGCTCGGGGGCTCAAGAGGCCGCTCGGCCTGAGGCAGTTATCTTCGGTTCGTGGCGTCAGTCTCAGCTCAGCTCCTACTTGGTGCGGCCCAGAGCTGTCGTCCCGGCTTTGACCCACGCCTGACCTGCCGCCTGTTATAGACAGAGTGCCTTGAAGCCTGAAGTCTTGTCCTCAGTTTTTCTAACCACCCAAACTAATGTTAATCCTATAAAACAAGTGTTAAGAGTTGTATCTTTAATCACACATGAAAGGATTAAAAGCCACACCCACAAGGTGTCGGTAGGGTGTTAGTGTGTCACGCTGAAGCACAGATTTAGCCCAACTAGAGAAAAGTTATAGTACAATCGAGTGTTGTAAAATAAAATCACACCGGGAATTTCCTGGCGGAGCAATGGTTAGGATTAGGCGCTTCCACTGCAGGGGAAGCAAGGCTCCATCTCTTGTCTGGGATCTAAGATCCCGCAAGCCGCACAACCCGCCCCCGCCCCCCCCCAAAAAAAATACAATAAGAAAAAAAAAATACAATAACACCGTCGTTCTGATACATCACAAAAGCTTTTAAAAATTTTTTTTTAATGAGTGTCTACCTTTCTGGAGAAGGAATGCTGTATTATTCTGATATAGCCTGAATTTTTTTGTTTATCCATTTCCTTGCAAATGTTCTTTGCTGACTTTCTGGAGATAATAAATGATAGAACTTTCAATTTGCTCTTGACAAAATGTTCCGTAATTTTTCTAAAATTTTCCTAGCTTGATATCTCCAAGTAGGCAGAGTCGATAGGGCCCTTCCCCCGTCTGACCTTTAGGGCCGGATAATGTGATTTATCACATTAAATTAGGGCCGGATACTGTGACTTAAAGCTCAAGAGTTACTCTGTGTGAAACTGTGCCAGACTCTTAATATCTCACTAATGTTTATCCATTGTCATTCATTCAGAAAAACACTGACTACCTATTAAAACCTACAACAGTTAACTGCCGCGGTTTATTTGTTTTTGGCAGAGCCCTGTGGCTCGTGGGATCTTAGTTCTCCCAACCAGGGAACCCAAATCTCTGCATTGGAAACACAAAGTCGTAACCACTGAACAACCAGGGAGGTTCCCCAACTGCCCTTTAGCTTTTCGATTAGGTAAATTATTCAGCCTAAATGTGTCTTATCAAAATTGGGAAAAGTGTGATACTCATCTTATGTCCCAAAGTTAAAGAATCAAAATGTCATATATCATAGGAAAGCATAGTCCTATAAAAGTAAAGTGGAGAAGAGGTTCTCAGACATCAACCTTTCAATATTAACAAAGCCTAGCAACAGTCATTCTAGAATCCAGAATATTAATGACTGGAAGGCTGGTTCTACATTTATTGTTCTTTTCTTGCTGGGTTATTTCCTCCTTGGAAGACAGGATGCTTAACAGATACTGATCTGGGCAAGAGGGATTGCCTGCGGGGGAGGGGGACTGGAAAATGTCAACCATTGAAAGACCTGAGAGCTCAGCAGGTAAAGAATCCACCTGCAATTCAGGAGACACAGGACATGTGGGTTCAATCCCTGGGTCAGGGAGTTCTCCTGGAGGAGGAAATGGTAAACCACTCTAGTATCCTTACCTAAAAAATCCCATGGACAGAGGAGTCAAAGAGTCAGAAGTGACTAAGCACATGAAACTAAATATTACTGAAACCTTCAAAATGTGCATGGACTCCTTCTTTAGTCCCCTTTCCACCTATAAAGCATCTTAAGTCTAAATCAAATTTTATGTTGTGCAACACTGCCACTCACAAGTATTTAATATTTCTTCCAGCCTGTTTTTTTCTTATGGAAGTTTCCCAAGCTGTACCAGCTGCTTTTCTGCAATTCGAGGAATAACTGAAGATGAAGAAAAAAAAAAAAAAGGCTTGTTTATGATGCACATAGTTCTATCCCAATAGTAAGAATTTTATAAACCAGAAGGACAGGTCTTTGACTTCAGAAGTGAGGAAGTAGAGTAAAAAAAGAAATTTAACTTTCAAAGGTAACTGTTTTAAAGCAAACTGGTCAAACCAGTGGTGGCACTTCATGGGTTCTCCTGGACCACTGTTTTCTAGCTAGGAGAGAGGGACATTATAATGAAATAGATTAAACAGTACTACCTATTTCACAGGGCTTTGTAGATTGAGTTTAACACAATAAAGTTAGACCCAGTGCCTGAGACAGACTAAGAACTCAATAAATGTTGGATATTAGTATGAAAGATACTGCAATATAACTACCGGAAACTTAGCTGCTAAAAACTTTAATTGGCTGCACATTCCGAGAAGCCTCATGGGTTAACGAAAGGATTGAGCTGAAGAAGAGGACTTGAGAGCTGTGAAACAGTATCTGGAACAGGTCACCTCTCAAAAGGAAGAAATTATTCAAAACTAGTAAATGTAGGCTTTGTGGTCTAATAATAGGCTTGTTTCTCTTTTTGTTTTGTCCTTTTTCAATACTCAAGTCTAAACTCACAAGAGAACCTAACCAAGTATAGGTTCTAAATGCCTGCAGTAGTTATATGAACTACAGCTGTATTTGTTTCAACTAACACTCTTAAAACAGGGTTGTCACAGATAACTTAGCTCTGAAACTTTCCTACTTCATGTTAATACGCTTGGACTCATAGAACTAATCTGTGAGGCCCTTGGAGTAGTGGTGTCCATGCATTCCTCCTCCTTTTTACCGGATATGTCAGTCATCCATATCTTACCAACAGTGGGCACCTGACCCAAGCTGGGCCATCAGTCTCCCCTATGGAAATTTATCTTTGCACAAAAATTAGTCTCTCTCTAGGTAAATGAACCTAAAGCTTAGGAGCTTTGTAATGAGTCTCTTCCATCCGCAAACAGCCAATGAGCCAAGAGAGCTACCCACTGGCTTTCTAGGTCCCAGTTCTAGAACCTGCTGCTTGCCTCAGCCCTTAGGTACCATGAGCCTCTCCTTTGTCCTTGTAATGAATACAACTTTTCTATTTAAAGTAGCTTACTTTGGTTGCTATTATTTCTAGACTAACTACACGTAAAAAATACACCTAGACATGGGAGAAACTATTTCCTGTGACCTCCTCCCTTTCTCTGTACCTCACCACTAGTGTTCTATCATTCATTATCTCTTGCATTATCAATTGCAGTAGCCTCCTAGCTGGTTCCAAATAAAATCCTACAATGAACAAATACTGGTTACTGTTAGTTGGAGTTTATAAGTAATCAAATTATTTATCTTCAAGATTATGATTACAGGGTGGTAACAAGACAACTTACAGCAGCTTCCTGGAGGAACCTTCTTTATGTTGGTCAGAGCAGCCTGCCAGTACCATGCACCTTTGTGAGCCCACAGGTAGTGATGCTGAGTAAGGCTCTGAGGGTAGGAGAGTCAAATTTTTTTTTTTTTAATTTGGGTTAACTTTGGCTGCGCTGGGTCTTTGTTGTGGCATGCGGGCTTTCTCTAGATGTGGCATGGGTGGGCTTCTCTTGTTGCAGTGCACAGGCTTAGTTGCCCTGTGGCATGTGGGATCTTAGATCATAGTGGGATCTTAGCCCAGGGATTGAACCCATGTATCCTGGACTGGGAGGCAGATTCTTAATCACTGGACCACCAGGCAAGTCCCAGAAGTATCCAAAAAAAGTAAGTCTATTAACATAAGATCAAGTCACTAGCCCTTGTAGGCTGGAAGAAGCCCAATATGGTTGAGTTACTATTAAGCAGCCAATTAGTATCCTACATAAATAGTGCCTTGGAAGCTTAGTGTTGGTCTCTGTCAGTATTTACCTGAAGATTCAGAGACGGCAGTAGCTAAATCAGCCTTGCTAAGTCCATGATACTGGGCCTTTTCATACCCTACATCTTTGCCAAGGTACCTATTCAATTCACATGCTTATTGTGCTAATGCTGAGATGGTCAGTATGTGGCTAATGTCAACCAGCCATGTCATTCTATTTGGATGTTAAGTGTCTCTGCCAAGGTAAATTCTTTTTCATGTGCATTGACATATGAAGCAAAGATCTTCATACTCTGTCTTCCCTTCTCTATATCCATCTATATACTTCTGCCCCAGATCTTGCTGCAGCCAATCATCTAGTCTTTTCCCTTTTAACACACTGACCAAGTGGCCAGGCCATTTGCCACTACACATGAATTCATATATATTCTCCTTTTGAACTACTTCTCCTTCCACACAAGATGGATGGATGATCACATGTTAATATCTGCCCATTGAGAAGATTTTCCTTGCAACTGCCTTTCAAAGTTACCCCTCAGAATGGCTGTAACTGACTCATAAGCCAAATGGGCTTTTTCCACCTGCTTCAGCAGGAGCCACCCCTGTGCTCCACTATGGCCATAGATATGAGCTGAGTGAAGAACACTGGTGTAACTGCAGTAGGTAACAGGAGCTTCTGGGTTACCTCTGCACACATTTTGCTTGTGTCCTCTGATTCTGCTTAAGCTTGATCCCAGGTGTAATCTTTCTGTCTTATGATGTCTTGGTGTTAGGCTCATTTGACTTTATGACTTAGTACATTTGACAGAATCCAGTCAGTGGTGGACAGTTCCAGACGTATAGTCATTTAGTGTCTGCTGGTCAAGTTTTGCATGTCCATCATGGCCCAGTAGCACACCAAGTTTTCAAAAGGCTCAAAATTCTCTGCTACAGCTGGCATATCCTTGCTCAAGATATTCAATAGCTTGCATTTGATTCTCCCACTGGGTCTTGCCATAAACATCCCACTGCTTCTTTTCCCACAACTGTCATCTCCACCAAAGGGGTCTCCAAGATCATATGATTCCAACCTTACTTAAAGTTGTCACATGGTTATTGTCCAGAGCAGTATTTCTAGGCATGAAATGTGCTCTCTGCAGAACCCAAAGAGGCTTACCAAGGATTGTGCTTCCTTAGAGAAAGGGGATGCCAGACGCAGTGATGTTTTTTCCATCTTAGGAGATATGTCAGCATGCCCTTGACCACTAGACCTCTGAATCTTCAGAGAGTTTATTTCCCATCCTCTGGATTGCATGCAGCTTACCAAGACCTTCAGGGTACTAACCACTTCTTCTTCTGTCTGATCAGAGGGATGTCACATAATATAATTCTGGGGCAAAACTATAAA